GTTGAGCTATAGGCGCCGAGCCGTGAGTCATTTTTTTCATCCTGGTCTTCTCTTGTTATTTAAGCCCATGCCAGTGGTGTGGGTCTAAAGCCAGCTTTGCCAGGCCAAACACCTGACGCCCAGTTGCATTTCAGATGCCTGATGAATTTTTTTTAGTAAACAATGTTTGGGACATACTTATGCTAAAAACAATGCATTGTTTATCAGAAATTTGAATTCAGTGGGGTACACTGTATTCCTTGCTCAATTTGGCAACCCTTTCTAATGCAGCAACTGGAGATATAGCAAGAGGGCCAGGTCACCTTCTTATGAGCAGCAGAGGACGGGCAGAGGAAGGCTGGGGGTAGGATGGGTGCTAAGATGTAGCCTTAAAAATAATCTGCCCCAGTCTTGCCAGAATGTCCGCACCATCCACTGTTAGCCAGCACAGCTCTGCACCTACCAGCCCAAGCGAAAATGCAGCGTCAGAGAGAAAGCCAGTCAACCATCAAACACTCCAGTGTGAATCAGTTTGATCATTATCAATTGTACCGAAGGGAGGAGACTCCAGAGAGGGAGGGCCTGATAAATCTTTTCCTTCACTTATTCCCTGAAATGTTTGTCTTCAGAGCACACAGGATGGAATTTGAACTGGTCCCCTGAAGTTCTCATCCTGGGCCTCAAGTGAGAACCACAGGTGCTTGCCACGCCCATTCCGATTAAACCAGAATCTCTTAGGAGTGGGGTCCAGCCATCCTAATTTTCCCCAGTAATTCTAATGTGCAACCAAATTTGAGAACTAGTGGAAATAACAGTTCAGGGCTGGCTCTTCCTTCCTTGGTGAGGGCTGCTGTGGCCAGCAGCCTGCTCTGGCCGGGCGCCCCAAGACATCATTTCAATGGGCTCTTCCGACACAGACATTGTTAATCTCCTTGTCTACAGGAGGGTGCTGCCTCGGAGAGGTGATCTGACTTTCGCAAGGTGACACAGCAAAGTAAGGGTCCCTGGGCCACCCTCCCACCCTCCCTTAATCCCAGCCCCCACTCTCACTCTGCGCTATGCTGCTTCCAAGCTGTGCGGCTTTGGATGAGACGTGCCCTCTCTGGTCCCGCACTCCCTCATCTGTAAATGAGAGGCAGAGATACTGTGTCCACAAGCCTCACCCAGCCCTGCCTGCCCAGGCCTCTGGCCGGCACAGTCACGTGGCAGGGGCCTCAAAGAGTGAGGGGGCATCTTGATGGAGAAATGAGGACAGGAAATGGACACCTCTAGGTGTCCTGGGCATATCATCAGTGAGAATGATGAGTGGGGGTGCAGGGGCTCCATGTGAAGTGGACTTTGTGGACATGAACAGCAGTCCTAATCATGCCAACTGCTGACGTAAGCGCCTGGGAACTACTGCGGAATGTGTGAGCTGAACACTAGCATGTGGGCACTGCCTGTGTGCCCCCTTTGTTGTCCCTCCCCAGGAGGGAGGGAGGGGCTGTTATCATCCCAATGTATAGCTCAGAAGTCCAGGGGTGGGGTCTGATGAACCCCCCAGGCAGTCCACCACCCATCTTCACGCCTGGCCAAAGCCACTGCAGGCTACTTTTTCAACCTAGACAGCTTAAGGAGCAAACAGACGCTTGTGGTTTTTATGTTGTCAGAGACCAGGGTTGATTTTTGTTTTTTAACATTGTATTTTGAAATAATGATAGATTCCCAGGAAGTTGCAAAGATAGCACAGAGAGGCCCTGTGTCCCCTCGTCCTGTTACCCCCAGTGGTGACATCTTTGTAACTATGGTATAATATGGCACCAGGAATTGATGTCAATTCAATGCGTGAGTGCTATTGTTATCTAGTCACACATGTAGATTTGGTGTGACCACTTCTGCAATTGAGACATGGACCTATCACCACAAAGATCTCCCACCCAAACATCGCCACCGCTCACTCCCACATCCTGTCCTGAGTAGCCAGACTTAGAATTACTGTTAAGGTACCATAAGGTGTCCGATGGCACCCACTTGTACTTGCATGTAGCATACGGGCCCACACTTAGCCCCCCTCCCAGTATCATCACGGCCATGTCTTCCTTGCTTACAGAACCCCCAGTGTGACCTGCTTAATATTAATACTTACTTCCCAGGGGGTGGGACACCCTGTGATGCAAACCTGGCTTATAGGATGGAACCAGAATTTGCCAAAAGCCTCTAAAGAGAAGAGCCCAGAGGCTAAATGATTCCCTCTCCCTAAATGATTCTCCCTCCAGCTGAGGGCATGGTACAAGGGGGACACCCAAGAAAATCAGAGGACACAGCCCAGGAACCCCTGGGCCACCAGAAAATATCAGTTTCCCCTGGATTTGTTAGGCCCATGCTTCTCCATCAGGACTGATTCTACTCCCAAAGGACATACAGCAATTTCTGAAGATACTTTTGGTTGTCACAACTTAGGGGTTGCTACTGGTGTCTGGTGGTAATGCTCGGGGAACACCTGTCCCCCAATAATTAAACAGCCCCAAATGTCAACAGTGCTGAGAGTGACATGTTCTGATTTAGGTCCTGGTGAGCTGATGTTTGTTTCCTGTAGTTGGAGATGCTCCAGGAAGAGACTGTTCAGTCACTAACATTCCCAGCAGGTGACGTGAGCAGCCAAGCTCCCCGGGATGGAGACCGAGCATTGGGGGGCAAAGTTAGCCAGAACTCACTATCTAACTAACCCACCCCACCCCAAGTCTCTCTCCCCTAGCTTGGTTGAGGACTGTCACAACAATTAAGACCAAGGTACTATGGCATCAAGGACAAACAGACAGACAGGGTTTCCTCCTAAGGACAGTGCTGCCACCTCTGCCCCCTGCCCCACATTCCAAATGGATAACAGAATGCGACTTTTGATACAAACATTTTTGTACAAACGCCATTTTAATGTATAAAACAAACCTCACTTACATACATAAATATAATCTGGGGGCATAAATAACATAAGAAAATACGAGATGTACATATCAAAATAAATTACTCATAAATATCAAGTTGGAAACTAAGTGCTGGGAAAGGGCTCAGAATCTCCCCTGCTGCTGCCCCCAGCCAGGTCACCAGAAAGACTTATTAGGCCTTTCAGATCTTTCCTCTTTTGCTTTTTCAATCATACATACAGGCTGACATAGGGCGGGAGGCTGGGAAGCCTCAGTGCACAAGATGGCAAGTGAGGAGGGGCAGAGGGTTAGGCCAGCCAGGGAAATGGAGGCAAGTGACCCAGGAGGACAGCAGCCTGTTCTCAAGTCAGTACCCACAGCCCTAACTAAGGGGAGGTACAGGAGATGAGGAAGGGGTGTAGGCCTCGGGCTTTCATGTCAAAGGGCCCTCTATATCCACATGGCCTGGGTAGATCTGATTCCCTGGACACCCCCCAGAATGACTGGGGCCAGTATGAGCTGCTGGAATCCACTACTTGTCCCTCTGAGCTGAGGGTAGAGGTGAGATAGCTCAGCCATAAACCTTAGGACAACTGGCCCTGGCTATCAGGAAGAGAAAGAAAAATTATCCATCCTAGAATCAGCCTCAGTGGGACTTGTCAAGATTCCCTGCAGCTGGAAGGCAGCTCTGGGGAGGGTACACTGTCCTTGGAGTTGAGATCTGATCCATTCTCACGCGGGCTCACATTTACCTCATGTCTCACAGCTGATCACCTGTATGAGTTTAAAAGGCCTGCTTGTCTCCTGGTTGCCCCTGCTGGAAATGATGAGAAAAAATTATACAGAATTTCAGCTTGATATAAGAATTTTTCCAAAGGGAGTAAGTTCCCCATTGGTGGAGGTATTCAAGCAGAACCAGGTTAACAGAGCGGCTTGTCCAGCAATCTCCAAGGAGTGGGATGGGGGCTCGGGTAGCAGCTGGGTGGGCAGAGGGCTTACAATTTTATGATCATACAAGTCTATCCACTAGAAACTGGCACAGCCAATATAAAATTCTGCATAGGTACGACTTCTAATGCTTCTTCCTAACGCTAAACAGAACACAGACTCAGGATTGCCCTTGAGGCACAGCCAGAACCTTGTCATTTCTGAAAGCTGGGACTCTTCACCACGCCCAGTCTGGTGGCGATCCCAAATGGATCCATGCTGTCAGTTTCCAGGGGCAAAGAGAACATGTCGGATTCCAGGTGGTCTCTGAGGTCCCCGGGCTCGGCTGGGGTCACAGGCAGCATGGGCAGGAAGTGAGAGAGCGGCAGAAAGCCCCTGCCCTTGTACAGCTGCCTCTGCCGGGCACTGCTCAGAGACACCGGCAGGCGGTGCTTCTCAGACCAGTAGACGTTGTAGCCGTCTGGCCGGATCTCCTCCTCAAAGGCACAGTCTTCCTCCGAGTACTGAGGCTGCAAGAAAACAGGCAGCCTATCAGCATGAGCAGGCAGGGAGCCCCAGGTCTGACACCCCCGGCAGTGGAGGAAAAGCACGGGTGTCCCTGGCAGTCTAATGAGTACATCACGTATGCTTTTATATACACGTTACATGTAAGTATTGTACATTGATATAAGCACATATAATGCATGTTATATTATACATTACAGATATTTACATACCTTTATACTTTGTAACCTGTATGCATGTACACGCATACTTCAGGTATATACTTCATATAGATCCTTAATATTTTCTTTTTTTTTTTTTTTTTTGAGACAGAGCCTCAAGCTGTCCCCCTGGGTAGAGTGCCATGTCATCCTGCTCACAGCAACCTCCAACTCCTGGGCTCAAGCAAGTCTCCTGCCTCAGCCTCCCAAGTAGATGGGACTATAGGCGCCCGCCACAACGCCTGGCCATTTTTTGGTTGCAGCCGTCATTGTTGTTTGGCGGACCTGGGCTGGATTCGAACCCGCCACCTTAAGTGTATGTGGCTGGCGCCTTAGCCACTTGAGCCACAGGTGCTGAGCCAGATCCTTAATATTTTCCACGAAATCACCTCACTTTTTAAACTGAGTCTTGTCCTGAAAATAATATCCATAAAATCATCGGCATGTATATTTCTCACCCTTTACATTAAACTTACAGCTACCCCCACTAAAAAAACGTTCCTGGTATTCCACCGACATCAGACTTTGAGAAACGCTGATAAACCACATCCTCATTTTAGGATCAGTCTTTTTTTATTAAGATTACATGTAATCCACTAGGCATTCCCCATCCAGCCAGAAGTCCCTGGGAGCCTTTCTAATTCCAAGGCTTTTTGTCAGATGCAGCTGTAGGAAACATCAGCCCCCTCTGGCTTTTCATTCCCTCACCCAGAGCCTCCCAGGCGGCAGCCCCTCCCCCCTGCCAGGCCTGGGCCTGCACCCAGCAGGTGGCCGGAAGTGTGTGCGGTCCCAGAACATTCCTAGTCCACGGGGTTGAGTGGTGCCAGTGGGCAAACGCTGTCCCAGGCTGGTGTCATTTACCCCTTGGGGACAGAGGACAGGCTAAGGCAAGGGCCGGCCGGTCAGCCGCAGGAAAGGCACTGCAGTCTGCTTTACAAAACTCTGCAGAGGTCACTGAACTGCAGGTGGGTGAGCCAAGCGCTGATAAGCCTGATAAGGGTAATTGCAGGGCCCACAGCTCCTGCTGGGCTGCAGCCAGGCGGCAAAGGAGACTTCTCCGGAACTCCCAAATATTGATAAACAAGGGAGGAAAACCCAAAGGCCTGGGAGACTACTCTTTACTCTGCCTGTTCTTTGGGAGAAATTAGTATTACCCATTCTCCAAACAGGAAATGAAACGATTTCCAGTGAGTCGAACAATGTGGAATTTTGATTAAAAAAAGAAGAGAGAGAACAGAAAATATCTTCCATTTGTGTTAGGCCCTGCGCAGAGGGCCTAGAGCACAAAAGATTTTAGGTGACACCCCTTACCCCAGTTTGGATTAGAGTAGAATGGCCCTTGGACTCCATGCCAGTGCCCCCCCCCCAGTTATAAATAAGTATCAAAATAACTAAAGTTTCAAGGGTGGGCCTGGAAGCGGCTTTGGGTGTCCGCTTTCAGCGATGCTGACCACCTCCTGTCTTTGCCATCCCTTCAGACAGGGCTCAGCCACCAAACTTGAAAGCGGTATTCTGAGTAAACGGAACGGACGTCAGGGGCACAAAACAATTTTGAGACTCCAAAGTGCTTTGTCCCGAGATTCACAAAGGGGCTGGTTGGGCGGGGGGTGAGGGGTAGGCCCCGCCTCTGCATCTTCTCTGGGGCGGGGGCACCGCGAAGGCCCCTACTCCCGCATTGGATTCCCGGCGGCGTGGGAGGCCCTGCGGGGACCTCACACAGCCTCCTCTGCGCACAGGGCGCGGGAGGGGCGAGGGCTGGTCCTTTGAACGCCTTTGTTCCCAGCGACCAGAGCCCCGGCGCTTCCGGCCCCGAGACTTCTCTGTTACCTGGGCCTTCTCTGCCCGCCCTCCAGCCTACCCCCTCCCCAACAAAAGCTTTTACAGGGCAGGTGAGCCCAACCGGAGGACAAGCACGCCCCTGGAAAATAACCCCAGGGCAGCTCCATCTTAATCCACACCATTTTCCTGGGAGATAAAAATTATTTTTTATAAAATCTCGCCAATCCTAAATCCACTGTTCTCTTTTCTTATTTAGTTGCTTATTGGCTTTTTTAAAGAGAAGATATAAGTTACGGATATACTTTTTTTCCCCTTATACTTGGAGGGAAAGGAGGCGAGGACCACACACGCGCAGGCCCAGCTGAAAAGGCCCGAGGTGGGTTTTCCTGTTTAATATCAAAGGGAGTCAAATAATGGGTTTTCGCGCCCCCGCCCCGGCTGGGCCGGTGGTTGGCTCAAATGGAAATGTAAAGGCAGCTGCCGCCCATTCCCCAGCAACTAACTGGGACCATACATTTCGGTGGAAATTAGTCGGACCTTGCCTTAATCGGTCCTAGCAATCGGCCCCTATAAGTTCCGGGCCAAAGCAGGGCGGGGGGCGCCCTTCTCCCCTAAGCCCCCGCCCTGGGACAAGCTTAGGTCCCGCGCCCCGAAGCATTCCGTCCCGTGGGGTCACTCACCAGCCCCTGCATCCTGCCGTCGGCGCCCATGCAGAGGTACCGCGCGCTGTGCACGCCTTTGATGGCCACGGTCCGGAGAGCGACGGCCCTGATTTCCAGCAAACCTGGGCGCAAGGGAAGCGATAAGCTGCAGCCGAGGCCTGCAGGGCCCGCAACACGTGGGTGCGGTCGGTCCACGCGCTTGTGCCCCTCCCTGGCTTCCCGTGCTGTCTGGGGGCCAAGACAGGGATTGTAACTCCAAGGTGACAAAACCTGGGGTTTCTGGGAGTAGAGGGGTCCGTGGGCGCCGAGGGAGAGCAAAGGAAGGAGGGCGCAGGTGTGGGGTGTGGGTCGGGGGACGCGGCTGGCACTCACTGTGTGCGCTCTGGCCCCGCGCGCAGTCTACCGCACCGTCGGTGCGTACGCGCAGGAAGCAGCTGGAGAGGCCGTGGGGGCCGGCGGTGTACAGGTGTCGCAGGCGGATGGGCTCACCCCAGCCGTAGTGCACGTGAGGGCCGGCATCCGAGAAGGCCAGCGGGCGCCCGGCCACGGCCAGCCAGAAGCTGGCCAGGGCCAGGGCGCCGGCTACCACACGCCCTCTCAGCCCGCTGGGCATTGCACCTCCGTGGGGCTCCGAGCGGCTGCGGAGGCAGGGGTGCTGGAGGCTGGGCGGCGACTGGGATGCGCTACGGAGCTGTGTGTGCCGGGTTGTGTGGCTGCGGCGCTGGAGCCAGCAGTGCACGCCCAGCGCCCGGGCGCACAGCGCTCCTACTCCGACGGCTCGGTGGCTCCGGGCCGGCAGCTATATATAGCGTCTTCGTGAACCCGCCAGTAGGTGAGGGTGACACCCGAGCATTTCTTATCAGGATTGCATCAAGCCTCCGCCCCCCGCACACACCCACTCACACCCCGCCTCCAGCCCCTGCCCCTACTCCCCTCCCAGGCCCGGGCTGGCAGGAGGCAACTGTTGGTACCTCCCCTGGTGACCCCGCCCAGGCCGTTCAGATCGGGGGAGGGGAGTCGGGGGGAGGAGACCCTCCTTTGCAGCAGAGTTTGGGAGAAGTCCTCTCCACTGCTCAGCGGCCCCGTCGTTCTTGTCTAGGAGAGTTTGATTTTGTAAAGCAAAAAAGTAGACACTTGAGTCCCTCCGTCAGGCCACAGGCTCCCCAGTGGATGCGCCGGGGTGAGGCAGGAGCCCCAGGAGTAGAGTTTAGGGAGCACAGAGTTTTGCCTCCTTTACCCGTCGCGCCGACTTTGGGTCCTTTCCTCCTAAAAGACCACACTCAACTATTTCTCCCCCCATTCCCAGCCCCGCATTATCTCCTGACGTCAAAACCGTCCATTAGACTGTCCCCCTGCGGTTCGGACCTTCTCACGTCCTCTCGGCTTTATCTTCTTGCGTTCCCGCCCCCTGGCCCCTTTTCTCCGGGTAAATTACCCCCGACGGGGGGCCGGGCGCGATCTCAGCCGGCGGAGAAACAATGGGAGGGTCTGCAGCCCTGCGGGCGCTAGATGGCGCCGCGGCCTCCGTGCCAGCCTCCGGGCGCTCCCGGGCCGCGCGCCCCCCGCACGGCCCGGCTCCTCCTCGCGCCCCGCGGCGGTCTGGAGATGGGAGCTAAAAGCGTGGTGCTTGGGAAGATGGCTTTCGGGCAGGGTACGCTGGCAAGCTGTGGGGTTGATAAACTCCGACTTCCCAGCGTGGAGTCGGGGGCGCAGGACTCCGTTTTGGAGGTGCCTATGTCGGTGGACCGATCCTCGGGTCCCCTAACTGCAGGGGCCGCGCGGTTGGGGAGGTGGGCAAGAGCCCTACTTGGTGCGGAGGGGCCGAGAACTAGTGATGGGCGCTCTTGGCGTCGGGTCAGGCGCCAGGTGAGGAACCGCGGCATCTAGGGAATACCCGCCAGGGGAGAAGAGGTCTTCTTAGGGCACTTTGGCTTAACGTGATTCTTTCTCATTATTTCTCCAGCTCCTCGCCTCCTAGGTATGGGGCCTCAGGAGTCTGCGTCTGGGGAAAGAGCCATGCTGGCCCCAAGCAAAAGCGAGGGGAGGGCAAGTGCTAGAGACGCAGCACAGAAATGCCAGGACGAATGAATTTCAACGAGCAAAGGCCACGTTCATACAGTGACTGGCGTTAATGACGGAGCCCGCAGAAAATGTCACAGGGAAAGTCTTCACAGAAAGACTTCATCCCGAAGGCTTTCCAGACTAGGGACCCCCACGCTGTGTGTCTCGGTTCAGAAAGCCATGGCTTCTGTTAAATCTAATTACTTCCCCCTGGTGCCTTTAAATCGACGGCGGCTCCTATTAAACTTAATTGCCCTCCCCTGCAGCTTTCGTTTTAAAGATCCGTGATAAATGCTTGATAAATGTGGGGCTTGAGGACGGTGGCAGCCGCTGCACCAGAGGACATGACCCAAATCCGGCCAGGGAGGGGGTAGACAGCGGCCTCTGTCTCCACCCCCATCCCTCTGCTGTGCCTTCTTGGGACATAGAAAGAGAGTGACCATGAGATCCCCAGCTGAGGGGGGAAAAAAGGGTTGCAGTGGACCTGCCTGGAGGGCTTCCTCTATGCCACAGGCCCTGTTCTAGGCACTTTATGGGCGTTGTGAGCTTAAATTTCCATGAGAACCCCCATGGTACTCTAGTCTCCCCCTCCCCCCACCCCAGTGGAACAGGTGAGAAACTCGTCCCCCAGAGACATAGCCGGGTATCCCAGGGCCATCCGTCCTGTAAGTGTGAAACTGAAAATTGAATACAATTGGGCTTGTAGACCCAGCTGCACTGCATCTCAGGAGACACCGTGGCCTTATCTTGGGGCATGAGGTCCTGGTCAGATGCCCTTTGGAGGCATCCACGCCTGGCCACTCTCTGGGCAATTCATGAATTGATGGCCTGATGCCTCAAGTTGCTTTGGGGCTGGTCCTGAGGGTCATAGGGAAGGGGAACACAAAGGGCCTGGAATTTAATTCATGAAGTAATGACAGCCTGTCCTGAGGGTCAGCGAGGTACTGGGCATCTGGTAATCACAGCAGTGCTCTGAGGGTTCAGGTGAGATCCTGCTGCATGTGGGGGAAGGGAGGTTCATGGAGATGGTCAGGTGGACAGGAAGGTGTGGAGGTAGGCTGAAGCTTAAGCTGGGTGTTTGCTGGGACTCCCTGGAGTGTGTGGCTGGAGGAAGCCAAGCGGGTCAGAGGGAAGGGCAGCGCTGGCCAGCAGGGGGCGCTGTAGCCAACCGTAAGAGTTCTCCCGGGCTCTGTGCGCACCTGGACCCCTGAAACCCAGTCGGCGCTCCATTGGGCTGACTGATTTTTCAGGATGCATTGGATTTGCTCCAGGTGACTAAGCCTGCAGAATCCCCAGTCTCCATTCACTGAGAAGTGTGAGCAATGGCGAGTAGGGTCCAGGGCACCCTCTGCTGTTAGCCCAAGCAGGAATCCAGGGGTCTCTTGCTCAAATGATCAGAAGGGCTTGACTTGGTGGCTTTGTTCTGGATTTGATATCAGCTGAGTTTTTTTTTTTTTTAACTGCCCCATTGAACCATAAAACCTTTTTCTGGGACCTCCCCCCTTCCATCTGAGGGTGCTGAGGTTGCTGCTTTCTGATTGTGGCAAGTGAACAATTTTCATGATTTCTAAACCTGTGTCCCAACATCTAAGAAAATCTTGTTCAGCTTCACTTCCAGTTCTCACTTTATGAAGGTAATAGTTTTAGTTTTATTTTACAATTAGAATTTTACATTACACTATCAAATGTACATTCTTAGTACATAAGCACTCCCCTGGGCCCCTGTCAAATCCCCTGCCTGCACCTTGTGATGGAAAATTATTTTGTAATTAGAGAAAGGTCTGGGGGATGAAGGAGGGAAGAGGAGGGGGAGGCCAATGGAGGGAGGGTAATCAGGAGGGGGGGAACCTCACCTATGGTGCATATTGCAAGGGTACATGTCAGATCTATTAAGAGTAGACAATAAATGTCTTTTATCAACAATTGAGACAAAAGCTATGGTAACCAGTTTGATGTAAGCATTCCAAATTGTATATAAAATCAGCACACTGTACCCCATAAATGCACTAATGTACACAGTTATGATTTAATAAAAAAAATTGTTAAAAGAAAAAAATCTATTAGAAAATAAGGACTGTAGTACAGCTTGGGATAGAAAGGGCTGTGAACACGGTGATGAGGATACCAAGGCTGTGCTGCTGGCTCCTGACCAAGCTGAGGCGGAAACCCAGGGGCTCCTGAATCTCAGCCTAATTATTTTTCCTGGAACCTGCTATAACATGCATTATTTCTCCCTAAGACTTTCAGATTCACCAAAACCCATTTTCCCCCTTGCGGATCATTATTCCAAAAAGAGGCCACCCAGCAAGCTCAGAATTTGGCAGGGATTGGTAGAGTAAAAAAAAAGGAGGAGGACGCCTTGGAGCCTCCATTTCCTCATTTGTCAAGAAGTCAAAGGCATGCCTAATTCCCACAGGGTACACAGGAGCATTGGGAGCCATCTCGCTACAGATCGGCCAATTCAGAGACCGTTTAGCACACACAGGTGTATAATAGAGGGGTAGCTATTGTTGTTTATTTAAATGCTACTCTCTGGTTACCTTTGCTACATTTATAATTAATTTTAAAATTTAATGGCATTGGCTCAGCGCCACTACATACACTAAAAATACATACACCAGGTTTGAGCCTGGCCCGGGCCTGCTAAACAACAATGACAACTGCAACCAAAAAATAGCCGGGTGTTGTGGTGGGCGCCTATATTCCCAGCTCCTTGGGAGGCTGAGGCAAGAGAATTGCTGGAGCCTGAGAGTTTGAGGTTGCTGTGAGCTGTGACACCACAGCACTCTACCAAGGGCAACATAGTGAGACTCTGTCTCAAAAAAAAAAAAAAATTGAATGGCACTTCTAGAGAAAGATGAATCAAAAAGCTGATCAGTGGTTCCCTGGGATGAAGATCAGCTGGGGAAAGGTAAGGGGGAGATGAAAATGTTCCGCATCTAGATTGTGGTCACAATAAACAGGTGATGACATGGTCAAAACTCATTAAATTGTGCCCTTAAAATCAGGGTACTGTTTTTTGTTTGTTTCAAAGTAATTTCTATTAGAAATTAGAAATAACAGTTAAATTGTATCAGAATCTTACATATGTGTTAATATATACTGTTGATATTTTTTCAAATTTTTTATCATGTTAAAATACAAACATCAAATTTATTACCTTGACCATTTTGAAGTGTACAGTTTAGCAGGATTAATGCATTTATAACGTTATGTTAAAACCATCGCTGCTATTCATCTCCAGAATTTTTTCATGTTGTAAAAATGAAACTTTATATTGGGTGTGTTTTACTTTAAATTATACCTCAATAATTTGAACATTTTCATTGTAAAAGTAGTGCACATTCTGGCTTGGCGCCTGTAGCACAGTGGTCATGGTGCTGGCCACTATACCCAGGCTGGTGGCCAGCTAAACAACAATGACAACTGCAACAACAAAAAAATAGCTAGGGGCTGTGGCAGGCGTCTGTAGTCCCAGCTACTTGGGAGACTGAGGCAAGAGAATCACTAAAGCCCAAGAGTTTAAGGTTGCTGTGAGCTGTGATGCCACAG